AAAAAAACCAAAAAAAAACTAAAAATAAATTCTGTATAGTTACTCACTATGTACTATACTATTATTTTCAGTGCACAAGTACCTACATTACTACAGATATAATCTATACACAACACTGTCAATGAATCAAAAATTAACTCTTTTTTTTGGCTCAGTAGTTTAGAGAATTGATTGTTCTTGTTTGTAACCTACTGGTCCGAAAACAGAGCAGATTTGTCCCTAAATCATAACACACATCTTTGTATGGGGGGGACATTAATATCAGGTATCAATTTAAGAAACAAATGATGTAATTCAGTTTTCCTGTCAATATTTGGCATCTTAGAAGAACAAAACAAGTAAAATGTATTTGCTTCTATTAAGTCTTTAACTAGCTAACTCTAGTTGTGGCTTAAAGTCCCATTTGTGATTATATTGCAGTTAAAAATTGTTGAGAATTTACTTCCCAAATTGATGGTAAAGTCTACACCAGTACTCAATTGTTTTTATTTCCAGAAACAAACCAGGAACTGTTTTTTACTTTAGTCTTTATTAGATATTCAACATTGGAATAATGAATTCTAATTTACACTGTATAATGGCAAGTAAAATTAATATAATTTACTATAGAAACAAAGCAATTTATTAATATTACAGTTAAGAGTACAATTTTGAAAATTTTTGTTACATATATCAAAATTGCATTTTTTTTTACAGGAAAAAAAATAACTTGGTTACAACCTGGTAGTGCATGTAAACATAAATATGTAATAACAAATCAAGGTCTATATAATAACAAATCAAGGTCAGCTAAAAGCTTGTTATTCAAAACAACATGATCATTTCTTTAAAATGCTTTATCTGTATTGACAAAACGCATATGTATAAATTTAAAGCATCGGAATAATTGTGTGTGTGGGGGCGTAACTTTCATATCTAGATTTAATCATTGCTTCAATAAAATGCAGAAAAAAAAGCTATGGAGAGCAAAAAATAAAACCCACTTGATCTTCGGCCGAATATTAAGAAAGATTCTCTTTACAAAATCAATTATAGAAAGTAAATTAACAAATGAAATGCACCTGGCTACTGACGTAAATATTATGTATACACGCCTTTGTAATCACTCAGTCAGTGATCATTATTTCTATGCTCAAAATTGATAAAAAATTATCAATCTGTCTGGTTCACCTTATTTTTTATTATAAATTCTTACGTTGATTGACAGCGCGACATGAAAAAACTCTTTGTTCCGCCATAACAAAACAAGAATAATATATCTTGATTTGATGCCTACGAGTGCATATAATCTTTCTTACATATATGATCGAGTTTCAATACAGTATAAAATGAATAAAGATGATGGAGGAAATAGATCTTTAACCTATAAAAAATTGCACGAAACAACGCAAAGTTAAAAATTTAAAACTTAAATTTTACAAAGCCTTATTACAAATTGCATAACCTACGCATAAATTTTTCTATTTACTTTGTAAAAACAGTTTTTAAAAAAAACAAATGCTTGTCTTAGCTTTTGGCATTTTTTCTTCTTCAGAAAAAAATTAACATTGATAAATATCGTTTTTTTTATTATAAAGAATAAAATTGAAGATTGAAAAAAATACGACTGTAAGTTAAGCATTCTTTAGTTATTTTTTATTATTTATTTGTACTGTAACTATCTTATACGTATTTTCGACCCATCATACAATATTATTTTCTAGCTTTATATGAAATACCTGCATCATTAAATTATCTACCCATAAAAAAATGAAGATAAAACAAGAGGGCCATGATGGCCCTGAGGTCGCTCACCTGTATATAGCCCCCCCCACCCCCCCACACACACCCATAAGAAGATGTTTCATGCTAAACATCTAAGCTCTAGCTCATTGGGCTTTTTAAAAGAAGATTTTTTTAAGTTTTACTATACACATAGAGTTAAAAACAATGACACCCCTGGGGCGGGGCCAGTTTTGACCCCAGGGCTTTTATTTGAACAAACTTTGTAGACACTTACTAGAAGATGTTTCATGCTTAATATCTAAACTCTAGCTATTTGGGTTTTTTCAAAGAAGATTTTAAGTTTTAGCTATACACATATAAGGAAAATCAATGACCCCCGGGGTGGGGCCAATTTTGACCCCAGGGCTTTTATTTGAACAAACTTGGTAGACACCTATTATAGCATGTTTGATGCTAAATATCTTAGCTCTAGCTATTTGAGTTCTTTAAAAGAAGATTTTTAAGTTTTTACTATATGCATATAGGGAAAATCAATGACCCCCTGGGGCGGGCCAATTTTGACCCCAGGGCTTTTATTTGAACAAACTTGGTAGACACTCACTAGAAGATGTTTCATGCCAAATATCTAAGCTCTAGCTCTTAGGGTTTTTTAAAAGAAGATATTTAAAGTTTTTTCTTTCGGTTGCCATGGCAACCAGAGTTCTGCATGGAATTAAATTCTTTGAACAATTTTTAAAGGTGACCACCAAAGGAACATTCCTGTGAAGTTTGGATGAAATTGGCCTAGTGGTTTATGAGGAGATGTCATTTAAAGTAAAAGTTTACGGACGCCGGACGAAAAGCGATCACAAAAGCTCACCCTGTCACTTTGTGACAGGTGAGCTAAAAAGTAATGTAACACAGTTATAGAACTTAACTTGATTTTGCACATGCTCACATTTTCAAATACACAAAATTGCGATTTCAATTGGGAAAACCTACAGTTTTTAACTTGCATTAAATTCTTCCTTTATCATTATATTTCATATCATTTATTATTATATACGACTTTTATATACATGCACTTGTCTGTAAAGATTGATTATATGTGCGATAATTCCACAATTTTTATTAATAAAGATTAATAAATCAATTTTCTATAGTTTGAAAATATTAAGCCAGTGTTAGTTCAAGTTGCATTATATCGACTGCAATGAAATACAAATTTGTATCTTTTATTTGTAAAAAATTACATTTTTTAAATGTATATACATGTACTAATTAAGCTGACACTTCACCAAGGTAACTAATATACAAATGACTGGAGTATCATAAAGCCTTGTAGTATTGCAAAGTTATATTATCACAAAGCAAACATTTCACAATGAAAAAAAAAATCAAAAAAAATCTAGTATTATTACAAACTTGGTTTTATTTATATTAAAAGGAATTCTTAAGATTATGATTATTATTATAATGAAACAAATATACTATCTTGCTATCTAATACAGATCTAACTATTATCATTGTGTTAATACATACATGATAATTTCAAAATACAGTTCATCATAATGATGTTCATATATGAAATTTACTTTGCAATATTTGAAATCATTTTTGAACTAAATATCTATAATGTATTTAAAAGCAAGTGTGTCGCACAGGGTCGTGTCGCACATTTTCTATCTCTTTTTAACACAGTTTTAACAGTTAGTTAAATATTGTTAATCAAGGCAAGAAACTAAAAACATACTTTGTAAAAATGCCATGTTTGCCAGATATAAAATTCTAGCGACATTTAGGGGAAAAAAAATGAAAAAAGATAAAAACAATGTCTTGGAATAATTGTAATACTGTTATATTATATATACTGGCTAATTATATAAAGTTCTTGAGACAATTTTCAGGGCCCTCATTTCACGATTTTTGTGACCAAAATTTGGCCCCAACTTCTGTCATGGTCCTAACAATCAGACAATTATATTATACGTAAATAAATTTAAGTTTTTAACTCACACGATTTTGATTTTCTTAAGTAAATTTGGGAGTATTATTTCAGGTAATGGCAAACAAAAATATAACCCCTTTTCATGATCAAGAAAATATTGATGAATTGCAACAGGGTTGTCATTTAGAGGCGTCTGTAAGCTAAGATGTATTTTCGGCCACATTTAAACGCACACAGTACAGGTCGTAAGCTAGCTAGATAGCTTCCTAACATTAAAAAATCTTAAGTCCCTAGTAGTACAATTAGTGGGATTCGAACTTACAGCGGTGAGGATAATCAATGACCTTAATCACTCTGCCATGGACGCCCTGTACAACATTCTATGTACCCCTATGTTGTATGTGATATTACAGAATGACTGCCTAAAATTTAAAACGGACCGTTTCAGAAACATTTTGTTGACAACCCTGTGCAGTAACCACTGAAAACAAGGAATCAGGGTGCAGACAAATAAAGTGGATTGTCAGATTGCTTTTAACTGAAATTTAATGAAGGCAAAGTCAGCATTCTGGCTATAACATAAAGCAGCTCTGGGAGATTTACAACTATTTTGGTACCACTATTATAAAAAGATTTTGTAGGTCGTAATATTACTTAAATATCTACTGTAAATGTATTTAAAAGCAAGTCCAATGTGGAAGTGTTTGCCAATTTTTTTACAGCTAAAGTAAAATGTCAGATATAATATTAGTTATAAAGATTTGTGACAGGTTATATGGCCATATATAAACAGTTTTTTTATGTAGCGGCAAGGGTTATATATTAAACATTTATATCCAGCCATATAAGCTGTCAAGAATCTTTATGAGTTTATAATTCAGCAAACTTCCTTTATAGAGGAAAAAATAAGATTTCTTCATAAATTGACAGCAGCCATGTATAAAGATATATAAACATTATCCAATGAAAAGTGATGTCACAAATTTGCAGTATTACATATATAAAGTCTCAACAATTTAAATTGTCCTAATATTAATATATGTCAATTATACTCACAACAGCTGTCTGGTCTTTCTTCACAAGTAGGAAAAATGAAATAACAGGGAAGTTGAAATTGACATAAAATTATACAGGGATGTCTTTTTCAAAGTCCAAAGGGCAATTTTGAAGACAGAGAAAAAAGTTTTGCTGTCAATAGTTTATACACGTGAAATTCAAAAATCCGAAACAAAAGATTTAACCTGGGACATAAAATTTTATGTCCAAGATTTAACTTCTGGCAAAGGAAGACACAATGTACAAAGGCTACCCCAGGTTTAATATTGTAATTGGTAATCATACCGTAATGCACTATATAGTAATCTTAAGGGTCCAGTGTAATTATAATGATCTAAATTCATAATATATACATAAAGACTATTCTAAACGAAATCTTAAAAATTCATTTTGGACTAGATATTTATTTTTCCTAGGCCATTTACCATTAGAATTCTTGACTTTTAGAGTTCTTGAATGAGATCATCAGAAATAAAACATAAAAAAAAAATGATGTATATTTCCAATTCAAATTTCACTCTGAATGACTATTCACCTAATATAATTATATAATTTATATATATTACATTTTGATTGTTGTAAAATAATCATATGCCCCACAAAATAATCCATGAAAAAATATGTACAAAATACTGTTCTGTATATTATTATGCTCTTGAAATTTACACTAACAAATATATTAATACCCTAATATATATGGAAATTTTTATTTCCAAGTACAACCATAAAACATACATTCATAAACAATACAACAAACCACTAAATTCAATTTTGATTGTATGCAAATTTAATATCTGAACACATTTGGGTTTTTTTTTTTGAAATGCACATGTACGTGAGATTTTGCTCCTCAAATTATTCAAACGTCACTCATTATTTTGTCCGGTTTTCTCCGTAAAATGACTGGTGATGATAAATCGTTCTTCATCAGAGTGTCCTCAAAGCTGTCATCGTTATGTATATTATTACGATTATAAAACGGTTTTTCTTTAAACATACACCACAGAAGCCTAATCAAATCCGAGAGAATTATATCCGTAGAATTTTTTCCAACTATTCTCATCAAGAAACAGCCATCCTCCCGCAAATAGTCATTTGCAAATCGTCTCGACAACTTTTTGTCGAAGCCGGACTGGATTTCATTAACTGCGCGTAGATATTTTCTGACAAAAAGCTCTTTATTATGGCGGAATAAGAGATAAAACAACCAAGAGGCGAGGTTGTAAAACGTAAGGATTGACAGCAAAAACATCCAGAACCAAATTAAGGCAAAAATCTTCTCGTTGAACAGATTTATCGGCAAAACACATTGTACAGTAAATGTTTGAATATTTTCAAATTGACGTATTTTAAAGTCGCACAATGTTACACGTGGAAACCTTGGAGTTTCTTTCCACTCACCGTGGTCTCTGAAATAGGTTAGAATTTCAAAGCCATATCCGCCAAAATCCATAGCTAGAAATGAATCGAGAATGAAAAACTGAGCAACGCAGTTCGTGCAATACAAAAGTTTGATGAACAGGTAAAATCCAGTAAGGAAATAACCATCTCTTCTTGCAAAACAGAAAATAAAAACATTCGAAACTCTTTGTCGCACTTTCACCATTATATTCCTATGATAATTCCGGTTTTGACGTAACCATCGATCAACATACTTTGCTATATGCTTCAAACTCTCCTCCCTATCGTCCGGTTTTCCAACATGCACAGAATCGGTTAGCTCATTGATTTTGCTAAGATTAATTCCTGATTTTGTATTGAGCAAATGCCACATAATATGAGGCGATTTAAACATAAATGCCATAAAAACAAGAATTAGTGGTACCCACTGATAGTAGTTCAGTTCCGCTTTCTGTCGCTTGGCAATGTCGCGGGGTATCCCAGTTTCCATTGGTACATAATAAGTATTTGCGATCCAGCAGTAGTTTTTAGTATATGCAACAAAGGTACCTGTAAAAGGAAAAGTGTAAATATCATTATCTTCCTGCAAAAGATAAAACAAATATTTGAATAAAATAACTTGAAATTATACTAATAGATAAACAAGTCTATTTGGCTTTAACTAAAACCTCATTTGAGAACAAATGAGATAGGTAAGAAGTCCAAGCCTGGTGCCTAAACTACAACCTCATTTGACAATCAATGAGATTAGATAAGAAGCCTTAGACTGGTGCCTAAACTACAACCTATTTTGACAATCAATGAGATAGATAATAAGCCTTAGACTGGTGCCTAAACTACAACCTATTTTGACAACCAATGAGATAAGATAAGAAGCCTTAGCCTGGTGCCTAAACTACAACCTATTTTGACAACCAATGAGATAGATAATAAGCCTTAGCCTGGTGCCTAAACTACAACCTATATTGACAACCAATATATATTATTAAACAAGTCGTTGACTTTAACTAAAACCTCATTTGACAACCAATGAGATAAACAAGCCTTAATTTGCATAACTACAACCTGATAACCAATAGAGATAGATAAGCAAGCCTAAGCCTGGTGCTTAAACACAACCTCAAGTCTGTTGACATTGACTACTACCTTATATGACAACAAATGAGATAGATAAACAAGCTTATTGGCTTAAACTGCAACCCCAATTGACAACCAATGTGAGATAAACAAGCCTTTGTTGTCTATAAAAACTACAACCTCATTTGACAAATAAAGAAATAAACACACCTACTGCTTTAACTAAAAAAAATATTTTTCTATAGACCTTGTCAATCCTTGTGAATGATCCACTTAGCCAAACAAATCCCCCAGTTGTGCATTGTCGAACATGAAGAAAGTTCTTATTAAATTCTTACTAAAATTTATCAAGTCACAGCTGAGCTTCCCTTAATAAATAATGAAAATAAGCACTAAATTACTATTACATAAAAAGCCTTTTATTACTGCCTTTAGTTAAAATTTGTTTTCTGCAAACAAGTTTAATCACAAAAGCAACTTACCTGTGAATTCAGCTGGACACCAGCAATGGATGGGATCGCCCACATACTGTCCGGAGCTCACAACTACCGCAAACAGCAACAACAAACACACCGTCCACAGGTGATTGGCGCGGTCTATCCAATCATCATCTGTAGATCCGGTCAAACTCTTCCAACTAATGCCCCCAAGTATTGAAATCCTGGAAAATATTGTAATATAATGTTATCAAGGATTTCAAGAAATCAAACTTGAAAAAAAAGGTACTGATGTTTTAAGAAAATTAAAAAGATTCAAGATAAAAGTTAATAATTTTCATGTTGATGTGCATGAGATACCGATTTAGCAGTATGGTTCACCAATTATTTCTACTGCCAGGGATTTTTTCAAGGATTTTGGGAACACGACCCATACCCATGGAATTGGGAATTTAAAGCGGTGTTTTGTTAAAATTGGGAAAAAATGCATGACTGAAATTTTGCAGTGATTAAATGGATGCAAACAATTACTGTCTATGATGGCATCTTCAAAGATTTAAGCTATATTACAGTGAGGAAGCCCTTATTTGCCAAGATTTTAGAACTTTTATTCAATATTTCTATTTTGTAACTTTCATTTGGGAATTTTTTCCTGTGGATTGGGAAAATAATATACTATTTTCAATTGGGAATATGACCCAATAACGGCTATAAAATAAGCCAAAAAAGTCCCTGACTGCGTTACTAATACAGTTAGGGTTATCTTTTGCATATTTTGATTCCTTTTGGTAATAATTAATTAACATTGTTTGTAAGTGCTGTTTGCAATCATGAATGTATAAATTTTTATTTTTTTGTTCACTATTAAATATTTTACTTTTCATACATTTCAAAATTTTCACGAAAATAAGCAAAAAAATATGGAGGCATGCAACTTTAAAATGTTATTATTTATAGCGCAATGATTATTTTTCTGTCCAAGCTAGTTTAATTTTTGTTTATTACATACCTAGCAAACTGTTGTCTACTTCAAAATTGTGGTGTATGGAAAAATAAGCAAACAACATTTCAGTACACCACAATTTTGAAGTGGAGCGACAGTTTGCCAGTGTGTATTAGGGATATACATGTCAGCTTAAATGATCAGAACTATAGCTACATGTAAATATATATGTGAAAACCCAATCAAAAAGATGAAATTAATGTAAATAACTTAATAACTGTTAACACTGTAATAATATTGGATTCAATGTCCTTGCTACAATAACATTCTTATTATTTTGTAATAATATTGTTAATTTTTATCATATTATTAAACAGGGATTGCCCCAAAATCTCAATATATATTTAGATTATAGTTAATAAATATACTGGTTCAGACTTCTCAAGACGAAATATTACAGCTGACACAAAACATTATTTTATTTTGAAAAACACTATTTGAAATAATATTGACAATTTGACATTATTCTTAAACAATTATTTTATTAATGTAACCTGATAATAATATGAAACAATAAAAAACACTCTTCATTTTTATATATAAAAAAGTCTTATGTAAACATAAACCCCTTAATTGTACCATATGACCCCTATCAAATTAACAAATTAATGCCAAATTAATAAAGTTGAACTTTAAACTCTTCCATGTAACGTCCTTGTATTTCTTGTCTTTAAAACTACAGTATTATTTTACTAAAATAAATATATATTGGTATATAACATAACAACTTCAAACATTGAAAATTTTCAACTGAAAGTGACTTTAGGAGATTTAAAACTTAACAACTTTTAACATTTTATTCAATAAACCGCGAAATTTAATTTAATTAGACTTCGGGGTATACCGAATAACTGATAACCTTTTTAGCAGTTCAAAATAATTATTTGAAAAGTAAATAATTTAACGACAAAAAAACATACTTACATTTTAATAAATACTTATATTTCTTCCTGTCACAATCTATAACTTTCACACAACTCTGGTCACAACCCCATTGTCAGTTATTCAAAATCAATTTTTACGTGTTTTAGAAAATACACTGACACTGTGTAACAATCTCGCGCCACTAAAGAAATGAACTAAAAATAGATTGCTTCCTTTGTGTGTACTAACTGAAGTAGCGCCATGCCGTGTAATTGGATTATAATTGGTTCCGTTTGGGTGGAGCGGACTTGTGGGGAAATGGCGGAAAAAAGCCAATGTGTTTTAAGCGGTTTAAAGTAAACTGTTTAATAGCATATGCAACTAGTCCATAAGGTGGATTTATTAAATTTAGTTTTTTTTTTAATTGAAGCACCTTTAAAATAAAATGGGACTGTTCCAAAATCAAAGCTACAAAGAACTGAGGTTACTTGTTTATAATAAATCATCTTTGGTGAAGGATTTCAAACATTTAGCTTCTTTTCTTACTTACTTTATTTAGAGCTCTAAACTTGGAGAAATAATCCATGCTTAATCATTAACTCTCCGAGCATTCAATTTGAGCAGCAACATGTTTCATTCATTCATTCATTCATTCATTCATTCATTCATTCATTCATTCATTCTTCTTCTTCTTCTTCTTCTTCTTCTTCTTCTTCTTCTTCTTCTTCTTCTTCTTCTTCTTCTTCTTCTTCTTCTTCTTCTTCTTCTTCTTAAATAAAAATAATATAAACATACGTATCTAGCGAATCTGGGGTACATTTTCACATTTTTATATACATTATATACATGTATATATTTTTGCTTCTAACGAGCCTATTTACACGATGGACTTCTTTTAATCAATATCCAATGGTCATTCGTTATTTAATCACCAAAATTTTGTTATCAACATTTTAAAATTAAAGAGAAATCCGTTTTAACCGCGCATAACATATTACGTCAGTAGTAAAACGCATTATTATGTATAATGGGAAATAACTGTATCGGTACCAAATCTATTAGACCTCTAGTTGCCTCCCTTACACTAAAATAATAATTTAACATTCTGCAAATTCCTTTTCGATTTCTTTATTTTTTTATATCAACTATTTTTATAGTAATTTAATAGTGTTGTAACACAGACGAACAGGCTAAGTTTGCCTTTCTGGAAATATTTTACGACTAACAGTAAGCTTTGATTATCAAAGGCGTTAAAAAATAAAACATACTATCAGATAAGTGATGTCACGGTCTATAGAAAACATGTTGCAGAATAGACGTGATGGAACTTACAGGGCAAACAAGTACAAATGATAGTCATGTTAAATTTAAAAGAGGCCGGCTAGAACCCACACGAAGTTGTTGAATGTACAACTGGTAGATAAAGGATAAAACAAGAAACGTATTCGCCTCAAAAAGTTTCTAACATATCGTGTATTTGCATTATTTATTTATCAATGTATTATATCCCGGATAATATAATGATGTGTAAAATAACAGCCCTGATACATCATCATTTCACCAGAGCGTCGTTTAAAAAAATGTGTGTAATCAAAACTTGATTTACAAGATAATTTAAAAATTACGTAGCTATGTCTCGATTTATCAGTAAGCACGTGTAAACCGTGCATATAAAATGAGCTGGTTACAATGTAAAATAAGCTATGTGAGATTTTTTTGGTTGGGTTTTCCGTCGTACCAACACAGAAGAAGTCATATGGCGTCTTACCAGCTTGACTAGTGAAGGAAGACGTTGGGTGCCCTTCCGAGCCTGATTTCAGACACGAACGGGTGAGGGGCTAGTGGTTAGATGTCAACGACCTGAACCACTCGGCCACGGGCGACCCCTTCCAAGCTACGAGAGTAAATGGGCGGTTAAACATGGTTCCCTATCACAAACTGGTGCATTTTTACAAAACACATTTTGAAAAACATGTAGTTAGACATACATCTTAATAATCAGTAGGATATATTTTGATATGTTTGATTTAGCGAGTATTTTACGAGTTGAAATAAATTAACAAGCATATAAACAAAACCCCAAGCAATTTCTTTTTTGATGAGGCCTTTAATTATAACATGGTAAAATGACTTTCATTTTTGACGCTATATCCGAGACACGTCATTAGACGTCACTGAACATATCGTTAATGAATGCTACTGCATTCTCTAAGCCTCTTGTCACTGTAGTCTTATTGTTAAAAAATACCGTACACTAGTTTTCTTCATCATTTTATCATGAATGAGTTCACCACTGCAATTATCGAAAGTCTACGCCACACAACGTTTATCTACATATAGCCATCTCTTAATTTGTTTTGTTTGGTTTTACGGCGCACCAACGTATATGTTTGGTCATATGACGCCGAAACAGGGAATGTGATTTCGGCTAACCCCGAGTGTTACAAACTTAAAGCAACATCAGACGTCAAAACCACCTCACTTGCTGGAGCTAAAAAATGCAGACTCCAGTAATTCGAACCCATTTAGTCGCCTCTAAACAATAACCGTAGTTATAATGCCTCAACCCGTAATGGCAACCCCTCAGCCACAAAGAGAAAGACCTAGCTGATAAGCCCTACAATGCTTTTTCTTTTGGTATTTTTTTTACAATATCCAAAACGGTACTCATTGGCCAACCTCATTAGCTATCAAGCTGAACTATCGTTTGCCTTTTGAACATTAAAGGCCCATTATGCCTCAGAAATGCTATCAATATTATCATTCAGAAACTGTTTATTTTTTACACTTTGTTACAGTTTCCAGAAACATACTCATTGCTATATATATACATAATCTGTCTTTTGTGTCTTGAGTTTTATTAGCAATTGGTATAATAATAGTGAATTTGTATTTGTATGGAAGTCAAACTACTACTTTGTTAACAATCTGCTACCTTTACGACACATAACTGCACATTCAGCGTTACTTTTTCTGTTGTAAAACATCTAACATGCTCTTAATCCATGATTTGAACAATATTTAACAAAAGTTTGACATTTCTTAAGAATTAAAAACATATGGATTTCTGAGGCATAATGATCCTTTAAGTAAAGTTATAGTTGTTAAGTATATTGAACAGAGGACAACATACCACTTTGATTAAGTCTTGCTACTTTATGACTGAAAATTTCACATTCAATGTTGTTTTCTTAGCTTGTTAAGCATCTAATATGCTCTAAGTCCATTATGAGTTCATTATATTATACGGGTTTGTCTTTTCTTTTGAGAGAAAAAAAGACGTTTTAATTTCTGAGGCTTAATGTACCTGCTCGTGTTTGATTATAATGCTCAGAATGGTACCCGAGGCTTTCCTCAACAGCAATGGTGAAAGGTCCCCGCCATGTAACCTTTCACATCATCGATGCAAATTGAAAACTATATAAGAAAAACAGTCGAACTCCGTTCGCTCGAACTCGGAGGGCCTGTGCTAATTTGTTCGAGAGATCGGTAGTTCGAGCCAACCGAGGTGTTGATCATATGCCTAAAGGTTTTCCTAGCTTACATCGGTCGAATGATAAATGCGTCAATATAATTGTTTGTTAGTACATCTTTCCGTCGAATATTTCATATTCAGAATTATTATCCCAGTGTTTTAATTAGGTATTAACGGTACGCTGTGTCAATTTATATTCATGCATAATGTAATTGGTTGAGTTCGATCGCGCAATCACACCAGCATCTATTTGTAGTCATTTACTAAAATAAACACACATACAAGTATCATTCTATAAATAGATAACACTGTTACGATTCACTTTACATGAACCACGGTTGTAATTAAAGCCGTCCGGGTAAACGTCATTCTTTATTGGCATGCATATTTCACTTATTTCACAAGTCATTTTCTTTTAATCTTTACCATAAACGGCAAATCAACAATATTATCATACAAATAAGTCGGTTACAACACCTCTTATTTTGTGTCAATTAACCTTAATTATGTTTGTCAGGATCACGAGGTGTGAAAAACATGCGTCGCCGACTGTCATTTATTTAGGACCAATCGCAACTACTCGGCCGTTTTCGTCAGTCTTCGGATAAGGACCTCGAACACAATAGTATGAATACACAGAACGGATGCGGTATTTCGGTCTAACCTACGCTAAGAAACTAAACATGAAAACAAATAGTAATTTAATGCTGGGAGTTGTTTACAAGTTTATTTCCAATATATGTAGTAAAAGTTCATCTAAAATAAGTAATATCATAGGTACAAAAGCAAACAATTCATTATTTATATATTTATTATTATGGTTGTAGAAACCGAAAGTACAAAAAACCAACCTGTTGACATTTCGTCGGATTTGTTTAAAATTGAACATCAGTGGGCATATTTAAATTACAAATTGTTGTCAGACATATTTTCAAGCAAAAGAGTACCGGAACAGGCATTAGATGTCAAATATATACATTCGTTTTACATTATCTCTGTTTCTGTTTACATCTGAAACCACGTGGTAGAACTACTTTCAATCCGTATTGTTTCCAAGGTTAATATTATAGATAATAGCCGTGGCAGTTCCGAATGATTTAGGACATACCAACTTGTCTTTTTGTGTTCGACCGAACAGGTGTGATTTTCACTATAATTCTGCCGAAGGGACCAGAGGTCAGGTTCGAGAGTTCGAGCGATCCGTGGTAAAACAATATATATCATATAGGAATTTTGCCGGGACTGGGCGATGAGTTCGAGCGAAGGGAGGTATTCGAGCGATCCGAGTTCGAGCGAACGAAGTTTAACTGTATATACAAAGCAGCTATTTAGGTGGGAGTGGGTTGGGACTTAAGGTAACTAACGACTTAATTCTGGTTGTCAAATTTATTATACTTAGATATCATGTGATATATCATGTTATCCATGCTTTATGATTTCTACATATTTAATGACAATGACCCACATTCTGACAAGATTGATTGGGTACAGATGTATGTTTTTGCAAAGAAAGTCCATACAGCCGCCATTTTGTTTTAGGTCATGTAAAAAAGCCCCCCCCCCCCGTTAACTAGAAAGTCGTATTGTAAACACTCAAATTAATGATAAGAGTTCTTCTTTGAATAGGGTAGTCAAAGCTTATTTTTCCCTATATTTAGATTAAGATTTGAATAAACAAGATACATTTTCTTTACAAACCCCTCTTTACAACATCACTTTTTTCTTTCGCTGCAGTCAAATTTTCCTTATAAAGCTTTTGTTATCCACGTTGCTTTTTCTGTTTTCCCATTTTTCCTTAAAGATCCTGTAACACAATTTTTGTATGGTGTTGATGCTCAAATTAAGATTTATCAATGTTGTAAGTTCTAAAAAGCATTGCTTATAAAGATATTACCGTATTTAATATTTCATATAAGTAAAGGAGGTAATCAGAAATTTATTTTCTATAAAGTCTAAATCAATTTTTTTCAATAAGAAATGAAGGCATACATTTTAATGATTACATACAATGTGAACAAATATTAGCCGTACATATTTCACATATTCTTCATGTTTGAAAATTGGTTATAAGCATAATAATATACATATATAAAATTTCACTTAAGTGTGGTATACAACCTCATTTATAACAAATAAGTCACAGGGTGAGAAACATGTGCAGTCTGACCGGGGCTCGTGCGCTGGGACCCTCGAAATACCGTACCGCGGCTCTACCGACTGAGCTATCCGGCCGCTTACACAACTGCACACCCAAATAGTGAACAGTTCTGAACCGTGACATACTCCCCTGCTATATTGAAATTCGTCCTCGAATTTCATATAGTTAAAGAGTAATGTAGATTAAACTCTGAACTATATGCAAGTCACGGTCCCCCGTTGGGCGCCAAAGGTCACAGGGTGAGAAAAATGTGCAGCCTGACCGGGACACGAACCCGGGACCCTCGGAATACCGTACCGCGGCTCTACCGACTGAGCTATCCGACCGCTTACACATCTTCTCCCCTAGATAGTGAACAGTTGTGAACCGTGACATACAGGATCTTTAAAAGTCATTTTTGTGATTTCTATGAAAAGCTTTTCAAATATTCACAAAACAAAAGGAAAATTAGTTTTGTAATGAAATTAAGATACGAATCATTTACAAAGCCTCAATGGGTGCGTTTCATAGAAAATCGTAAGTCTAAATGTAAAAGGGGTATTTAAATAATTTCTCTTTATTGTTCTACTAAGAAATAGTTCTAACAAGTCACCGTCGTCTGCTTAAGTATGCCCGACATTACAAATGTTGCGCGGAAGTCAAACTGGACTGACGGAGAGCTGCTTTCACTTGAGGAAGCACTTTTGGAAGCAGCTCAGTCTGTTATAGAGGTCATTTTGTTGTCTTTGTTCTTGATCTATGAGAAGAAAAGGAAGAGGTTGGAGTTGGTGTCAGACCGGTATATATCAGTGAAACGTTGGTAACAGAGCGGTATATACATGTATCAGGGAAACGTTGGTGACAGCGCGGTATATATCAGAGAAACGATATATATCAGGGAAACGTTGGCGACAGAGCGGTATATATGAAAAACGTTGGTGAAAGAGCGGTACATATCAGGGAAACGTTGGTGACAGAACAATATATATCAGGGAAACATCAGTGACAGAGCGGTATATATCAGGCAAACATTGGTCAATAGAGCGGTATATATCAGGGAAACATCACTAACAGGGCGGTATGTATCAGGGAAACGTTGGTTACAGAGCGGTATATATCAGGGAAACGTTGGTGACAGAGCGGTATATATCAGGGAAACATCAGTGACAGAGTGATATCAGGGAAACGTTGGTGACAGAGCGGTATATATCAGGGAAACATCAGTGACAGAGCGGTATATATCAGGGAAACGTTGGTGACAGAGCGGTATATATCAGGAAAATGTTGAATGAAAATGTTTATACAAGGATGAAACGTCCTAGAAATGAGATGATTATTATTTTCATCTTTGTCATAAAGTACTGGCTGCGTTTCATAGAAAAGTCCTTAGAGTATTCCAAGTCCTAAGACTTATGACCAAACTACAGGTCTAACTTAATTAAGACCTTTTCAATCAAAATAGTTTCATATTTAGTGAAAGTTTTAGAATTTTATTTAATTTATTCTCCAGAGAAAAGGTACACAATACAAAGATCTGCCATGTGGTGTAAAGGTAATCAGAAATTGAAGATTCTTAACATTATTATGTTAAGACATTTTCTTTGAAACGAACTTATCTTAGTTTTGGTCTTAGAACATAATGTAGACTAAGGACTTTCCATGAAAACGCAACCATGAATGAGATAAAAGAAGCTATAGCTCCTGAACAGATGAAGGCTTCATACAAGTTACCCTAGTTGACTGGAGTAGCCGGGAACCGAACATGCGGCCCCCTGGTTTTGAAGACAGCATTATTTCCGGGTATTAGACCACTGGAGCTCTGTTTGTCCGTATTACTCTTTTGTCTCAAGCAAACAAATGTGTCCGCTCTATAGCTGCTATATACATGTCCGTTTAACTCTTTTATTTTCTATCAATTTATTTAACATGGCCCTTCATTTCCCTGTTCAAATTTGAAAATCAAAAACTGACAAAGCTTAACTGTTATTCTCTTTTTATTTGTTAACAAATTTGCATAGAACAATACAATACATAATACGAAACAAATTATATGAATTTCAAAGTTTTTGACTTGCATTTTTCAAAAGCTTTCGTAACAAATTATATGAAACTACGGTAGTTCATGATTCTAAGAAAGTTTTCAATAACTGATCCATCGATTATTGATTATTTCGATAATACCAATGACAATGTTCGACTAAAATCACCTATATCGAGCCATGAGGCCCTTAACAAGGCACTGTGTCAACAAACTATAATACTACTAAAAAGCAACAAATTCTTAAATTCTAAAAGCAATCACAACTCAGGAATACAGTAATGAGAAGTGAATGCTACTCTAATTATTGACCAAAATGTGCTCCTCAGGTGTTCTCTATCTAAAAAAAAAATTAAAAAAAATATCCTTCACTCAACTACAGAAATAAAAGCACGGCAAGATTATTTTAGAGATTTGAGCTCTAGCTATGGCATAAACAATCCAAATTCAAAATGAGATCATAATGAAGTTTTTTTAACTATCTAAGTTGTAAATGAAGAAAATTCTGCGATGAGTTATTTTTAGAATATTTAGCTAAATATAGTATCAACGTGACGTCATTGATATCATAAAAGTTATATTTAGATATTTCAATTCTAGAAGATAAATATTATTAGTTTTCTTTTGGCAGTTTTTTTTCCTTGCAAGTCAGTATTAAAATTTGTTTTCATTTTCATCCTAGATATTTTAATACTAGAATATAAATTATTGATTTTTTGGCAGTTTTTTTCTTGCGTTAGAATTTATTTCTATCACAAAAATCACCAACAATATTTCAACACAAATACTGATAGTTCCGAATACACATAGCCATACGTCCTATTATATATATAGTCACATAATTATAGAATAATTACAACCCAACAACACTGTCAATTACAGGAATTTTATTTCGACGTTCTACATATCAGAAAAAATTAATCTTCGGGAATTTCCGAACATACTTTTCGTTTTGGTAGGTAATAATTTGTATACACTTGTACATAGTTCTAAAATAAGCACGTAAATTTCAAACATTGAAGAAAAAAAGCACAATTGAAAATGCTATTTTCTATGAGATATTTTATTTACTTTTGTTTATTTTAAAGTTTCCCATTAAAATTTCTTATCTAAAATTTATAAGAACACAAAATAAAAGATCTGTAAAATATCTGTGTTGTAAAGTCATGTGTGTATATATACAAGTTTATATACCTTAAACCTTAAAAAAGTAGTTCTTTCAGGACAAAATATGTCACATGATAAAAACAACAGAAAAATAAGGCACAACAAAACTAGAAAAAATAAAATGCTATGATATATTATTTACATGATGAGTATATGATGTAATAAACATGACGTCATAATTAAGTAACATAATAATAATTATATTTTATCCAAAAGGTCCATACTGCATGCAATAATTGACTCCGATCTTGACGTATAGATAAAATCATGCCATTACATGGTCCGGTACACTTTTGTTTTTGTCCTTAAGGCTACTACGATACAAATGTTAAAGAGAATGTCTCCAAATGAATTCCGTAAAAAATAATATTCGGGCAGTATAGAAGTGTGGAAAAATAAACAAGAAATATCTCTGAATAATATTAAATTCTAATATGAGATTTGAGTTAAAGAACAAGTATAATGCCACACGAATAAAATGGAGCTAACTTTTTTAAAATTCAAAAATGCACGTGACAATTATAGTCATATTATCACGTGACTTTCACGTTAAGAATTAAAAGCTCTGAAATAACAAAGAATAAAAAAATTACAGATTCACAGTAAAATGACCATTAAAATGACTACGCAAAAAAACAACTGACAAAACATTTATCATTTTTGAAGTTTTTTACATACTGCTTTGACAAAAGTTACTATGGAATGGTAAAAGTTTTATTCTTAAAACCACATCTAAAATGATAAAAAGGCTTTTTATGAATTAATCAACCTTTAAAAAAACAATACAATGTTCATGGCACTCGTTACAAGAATGATAATTTCTTCACAATGGACAGAAAAAAAGAAGACATTTCCGTAAAATGGGTAGAAAAAAAAAAGAAATTCTCTTTTCGAAAATGTAAATCTTAGGCATAATGTCCACAAAAGAGCACCATACATTTATTTTGAACACACCACGTGATTTAAACAAAAAAGGATAAATAATGAATGAAAATCTAAACAAAAACCAAAGTTATTCTTCACACGAAATAATTATGAAACGTAATAACGAAATTACTTGAAATTTGATCATTTTTTCTTAAAAAAAAACAAACAACAAAATACATATTCAGAATATTTATAAAAATGGCATCATTTACGCAGCTCTCTTACAACACTGGCCTAGGACGAACTTGACTCACACCAAAATAAATCTCTACATCACTACTGTACATATTTTGTAATCTAGGAACTGAATTATTACTTATAAGATAACAAGATTAAAACTTAAAACAATAACTGGCCTAAATATTTATCACTCTCATCAACACAGTGATGCGATAAGTAAAATAAATCCCGGCAACTTATTATACATATCATATAACATGCATTATCTGATTTATCTCCCTCGGTCACCATTTTAAGGGCCATTCATCAAACATATTCTCTCCATGTTACCTGATAAAAAAAAACTTTTTGATATTGTTGCTATAACATGTTTTTTGCACTCCTATCTAAAAAAAACAATAATCTTATGAAATTGTCTCTTCATGTTAAGAATAAACCTACCATTTAAGTTGTTTTCAGGTTCAGAATAAACCTACCATTTAAGTTGTTTTCAGGTTCAAAATAAACCTACCATTTAAGTTGTTTTCAGGTTCAGAATAAGTCTACCATTTAAGTTTGTTTTCAGGATTAGAATATGCATACCTGTCAGTATTTTAAGGTTTGTAAAAAGCCTACCTTTTTAATTTGTTTTTATGGTTGGAAATTACTAGTAAACTATCTTCAAACATTAAAAAGGTGTATTCATTTGTTTACATATTAAATCATTTTAGTTAATAATGAAAACATCACAGCAAGAATCACAATGATCTAGAATCAGCATTTAAACGTCCTTACATTAAAACATTCTCGCACGTGAAAGCACGCCTTTACATTATAACGTCATCGCACGTGAATGCCAGCACGTGAATGCACACACCTTTACATTATAACGTCCTCGCACGTGAATGCACACCTTTACATGATTACATTCTTTCATGTGAAAGCACCGTAATTGGCAGTTTTTGTATAAGAAAATATAATTTTGTAGATTTTTTTAAGCTAATAATAATGTTGCAACTATGAACAGATAATTAATGTAAAATACATTTAACAATGTGACTTTTCTAAAACGACTGCATTCTTTTATATAACTAATGCCATGAGGCTCCATATGATAAATAAATCAAATGTTTGGCTGACGTATTTTCTATTATTTCATAACTTAAATTTGTACTCTAGTATAGTAAGATGTAATTCAAAAATTAAATGTTCTAATACATTCAAACTAATGATCAATAATATACATTGTATATATATAAAAAACTTTCACTTTTTTATTTCCATCGACAACTTTTGCCCCAACAGTCGCGAAAACATATTACAATGCAAAGATACACCATACTGTTAACAAAAAACAAAGTGTATGTTATCAAAAACACAAAAATAGTTCAACCAACCCACAGCTGCTTGTACAGGCATTAAGTCTAGACATTGTTTGTTAAAATAATATTTATACTGGCAATATACATCTATGCTTATCAGTAAAGTAACTAATTTATTAGACTACAATCACAAATGCTTTAACTTATATGAAAGACATGTTAATGACTGGTCCCTGCTTGAAGTTATTTATTTGGTATATTATTGACTGGTCCCTACTTCAAAGAGTTTCAATCACCGATTACCTACTCTTTGAAAGATATGCAACTGACTGGTCCTTGCTTTAAATTATTGTCCTTATTTTTGGCATATTAATGACTGATCCCTACTTCAAAGATTGTCTTATCATAGACCAATGGTCCAATAATTTACATGCACTTCACTTTTTCATAAAGGATTGATATAAAATCTTGTACTGCCATACCATTTCTTTGATCTTTTTCCGATAAGAATTAAAGCATGTCAGTCATTATAAACAGTAGGAAATCATAATGCTTGTAGACTAAAACTGTGCTTTAAAAAAATTCTAAGGGAATATATTCTTTTGTCCGAAATGTAACTATCCGAAATTAAGGAAATTAAGTAAAGCATAATGAACGGTGCGTCAGCTATTACAAGTTTTAAAGGTAACGAAGGCCAATATATTCTGTCATTTATCTAATAAACCACTTACTACATAGTGACCATTTTTATACGAGTCTTTCTCAAATATGCCATTAAACACTTTTGAACGTAAAAACAAACATTGTTCAAATGAATTCTTATAAAAATGATGAAATGCATAACATGAATATGAAAACAATATGTTCTAAATGATTTTAAATGACAAGTAAAAGACTAGTTAAAACGCCTTTTAAACAGTGACTGACAACAATGAATACATAAAAAAACTGTTTGCAAAGTCAATTGAAATGAAGGTTTCAGTTTTTGAGACTGAATCAAGCTTTTAGCCAATCAGAATGGAGCTTACATATCTTTAAGCAAATGAAAACGAGACCTTCATTTTTAGCCAATCAGAATCAAATATATGAAAATGAGTTGTATTTAAAGCTCCGTTCAAGCTAAAAACATGATACACAACCTTCAGGAGATGAATTTAATGTTTGCATTTCATGCAATCATTTTGTCATTCTTGCGAACATGTGCTGCTAAAAATAGATGTGGGCGTGGCCACTGAGAAAAAAATCTCTACCCTCATTGGTAAGTTTCACCATTCAACTCTCCTTCTCTCTCCTTTTTGATCATTGGCTTATTTTGATAAATCTCCCACATTTTTGTCACAAGGTCTGTCATGAGAATGTCATTAGAGTTTTTCTCAATTATTCTCATCAAGAATATGCCATCGTCTCGTAAATGCTTATCAGCAAATCGCTTGCACAACTTCTTATCGCCGGGATGTTGAAGATTGTCACTGATTTTGAGATATTTCTTGACTATTGTAACACGGTTTCTGCGGAACACCGTTCTCCAGAACCACAGCAGGAAACTGGCGCAGGTTACTATGGCAACGAGGACAAACCAGAACCAAAGGAATGTGAAAATCTTCTCGTTAAAGAGGTTTATAGGAAGCACGCATTGGACAGTGTAATCCTGAAATGATGAAATAGGAATTGCATTTAGTAAACCTTATCTACAGTTTCTTGTCTTCGATCTAATTTTAGATCAAAATGAAAGCGTTTGAATGGACTAAATGCCGGCAATGCAACATATAAGATTGAGTTTATGAACAGTACCTACACACAAATATTGACACAAACTTTAAAATTGATATTATTACAATGCATGATTTTTTTAAATAATCACTTACATTGTAGCAGAAAATTCCAGAGGTAGTAAAACTTGGCATTTTTACCACCCTCTCAACATTAAATTATAAAGGGGATGTAATATTAGCCAAAATAAAAAAAAAACACATAAAATTGCTATAAAAATGCAAAAGAAATCGTACTGTGTGCTATCTTTACCTGAATATTTTGTAACTGACGAATCTTGAAGTCGCAAAGTGTAACCCTTGGAAACCGTCTTGATTCCTTGGTAACCTGCTCTCGTGCCAAACTGTTTACTGCTTCGATACCCCACATTTCGAAAAATCCTCCCAGGAAAGAGTTCAGTATAAAGAAATGGCATATAACGTTGACGACGTACAGTAACTTGGTGAAGAGATACAGTCCGGTAAGGAACGTGCCCTCTCTTTTATTGCACAGGAAGAAGTATTTTGAAGCGCGGTGACGCATGCGCACTAGAACATTCCAATGATATTGTCGGTTGGACTCTAGCCATCGGTCGACATACGTCGCGATTTGTTCGACGGTCTGGTCCCTCTTTTTGTGGTCTCCAATCTGGGTTGAAGCCGTCATCTCTACTAGTTTAGTCAAGTTAATGCCGGAAAATCCCGCCAACATACGCCATATAAAACTTGGAAATTTGAACAGGAATGCCATCAACAACAGAATGAGCGGTATCCACTGGTAGTACGTGAGTTCCTTCTCTTGATGGCTCTCGTTGTCAGGTGAGATTGTTTCATGCATGGGTAGATAATACGTATTTTTAATCCAGCAGTAGGACTTCGTATACGCCACATAAGAACCTGCATCAGAAAATATATTCAATCGGAGAAATGGAAAATTTATTTACCTTTTCTGATACAATCCATTCATAACCTTGCTCAAGAAAGTATTCGCAAAATCTTAAATTTGCTTTATCATATAAGTCAATATTTAAGAAACAATAAGTTTATATGCAAGATAGTAATGCCATTTGAGTAATGTATGGCGATTTACCAGTGTCTTTTCATGTTGATATGTAATAGTTATGTTGGGATGGTCAAAGAATATACATACGTATATGCATGTATACAGAACAGCGTCTACATCCCTTTCTTTAATCAACAAATCCTTAATGAGATACTTCAAACTTGAATTCACTGACCTGTAAAATGAGCGGGGCACCAGCACTGTATAGGATCGCCGGCATATTGTCCGCTGCCGACGAAAAGTCCGAAGATGACTAGAATGACTACCGTATAGATATGACTAAGACGATCCACCCAATCGTCGTCATCGTTACCTCGGAGCTTGTTCCACGACGTCCAGCCGCCTACGATTGACCCAACTCTGAAAAATACAATTATCATAGAGAATTAACATTTAATATTATAGATAATGGATCAATATTGAAAAGTCCGTCCAATATTGTTCGAATGTTGTTCTTTTCTTTTTTAAGAAAAAGGTATCTGGTTTCTTATGAAAAAAAGTTCAGAACCATGGCTTGTGATCGGAATTATGGAAACATTAATGGGTTTGAAATGAAAAAAATCCCAAAGTCTTAGGTTCCATCAAAAATGAAGATAAGAAATATATGGTTTAAAGAGCCATGTCAGATCATACACTTGAAAGCTTATCAGTTTGGCGAGAAAAAAGAAAAAAAGAAGAAATATTGTAGTACGAAAATAAAGTTTTAAGTTTCAACCAGTTTTTATTTCTTTATCTGATCAAGACATAGACACTTTGCTTGACTTAATCATCATTAAAACCATTCCACTGCCAGGATGGCTTATCTTAACATGTGTGTAAGGTTCATTAAAACGTGACTTTATTTACCATTTTTGGATTATCAGTTACTCATTGACTTTATTCGTACATATGCCTAGGTTTTTCCCTTGACAACACAATTACGTCGTCTTTGTCACCGTGGATAACGGTGCTAATTTAGCGAACATGCTTAAAGCTATATATCAGCTGAATGCATCAAACTAGCTAAACATTGCCTTTACTTCTTCATTCAATTTCATCCTTACTTGAAGTAAAATGCGTAAATTTAATACGAGAATTGAGTTATTTCCCCTTGACTGTTAAATTTAATTCACAGTTGATGGACTACAACTTAAAATTTCGAATGATCTAAACTATGTCGTTTAAATACTATTACCTTTAAATACTGTTTACTATTAATAAGGCTTTAATATGGATTAAGATTTTATTAATGTTAATATTTTGACTAGTGAGAAATATTGAATGGCCTATTGAATATACTACTATACGCGCATATACAAGACTACTGCGTTTATCACATAGAACAGTTACTCTATAATGAACGTTTTAATCGCGTGAACCACAACGACTTTATGACAATTATTTCGACGATAGATCAAAGCATAAGCTGGTTAACTACTGTATCACACAGGGAAATAAGTAAGCGGTCCTCGGCCAACAATAGAATTGTAAGTTTATGTAAGATTAACTCGATGCTTCAAACATCAATCAATCAATCAATCAATCAATCAACCAACCAACCAACCAACCAATCAATCAATCAATCAATCAATCCATCCATCCATCAACCAATCAACCGAAGCAACCCGACCAAACAACCAACCAACTAACCAAGCAGTCAACCGACAAAAATCGAAATCATTTATAACTTTCACAACTGTAAACTTTTCAAGGCTGATGCAATCCTTTCGGTCACTGATGATTGTAGCTAAGTTTGTAGTCCTTTAAAGTTCGCCGGAGTCAAATATTTGAAAGTCAGCCCACCGTGTTAAGTTACACGCTATCGTATCAAAAGATTATTGTGATCGATGGCGTTTAAGATTGTCATCAGAGAGTAGGCCTTTGTCCAGGCTCAACGGTAGCCATGCTCGGTTTAACGCCACATGCAAAAAATGGCTGATGAAATTTAAACGCACCCATATATCTGCACTCCCTTTACTTTTGAACTTATGGCCCCTGCATTGTTGTTCAAGTGTTTAGACAAAGAAAACAAAATACACACAACAGAAACCGCTGAATTCATGATTTTTCTTAAAGCATTGAATATTGAATACAATACCGTCTAATAGTTTAAAGAAATTTTAAGATTTTTTTCTTTTCTTTAAAAGAAAGAAATATTTCGCATATTTTCCTTCGAGACAAGTCTGGTTGTTTTTTTACTGAGCAAAAAAAACCACACACGTGATTATCACTCGTTTGTCAAAGTCAAACACTGTTACCGTTTGCATTCATCTATGAAACTTCATTGAAACATCCAGTGTGTTTTAACACACCTGTCGAGTTTTAGATTTATAAGATGATGTTGAAAATTTATTACTTTCAGGAAAGGTCAAAACCATGTCCATCTTCTATAATATATACGCACACTGTATTTAAATATACAGGTCTGGTGTATAATTTAGGTTTTTTTTGTATAAATAGAGTTAAACACATTCAGATGGCTATGAACTTGTCAAAAAAGTTCAGGCATTAAAATAATTGTTAACCTGCATCTTAAATTAATTCGTTTTTAACCTGCATGCTCATATAGACTCGTGCGAAATGGGTTTTTCGGTTTTGTTCAACATTATGAGAACGAAAATAGAAAACTCAGAATTGTATTCATTACACCTTTTTTTCAAAACGAATCAATTAAGATGAAAATTGAAATAAAAGGGTTTGAGATTCGTATCCAAATTGTATGTTTTTTGAAGTACAGACAACCTTTGGTAATTAGCCTTTAGTCAGGCCAGCCTGAACTATCCATGGAGTCTAAAGTCTCTATGGCTTTAATGGAGGAGTAAAGCTCTTAGTTGCCCATCCGTGCATTATTTTAGGCACGAGAAGGCACATGAGCAGAACCACCGATATTCCGTTAGTCTGCAGAAAAGCCTCCTCACATGAACGAACCCACAGCGGCGAGGGGCAAGTGTTTTAAAGTGAACGACCTACACCACTCGGCCACGGAATTGTACAGTCCCATCCCCCCAAACCCTCAGAAGACGTTTTTTGTAGGACCTATGTCTTAAATATTCAATTCGTTTGCAGATAACATTAGTTTTGATAATTTAACATGGCCTTTCTGTTATTGTAGCTAATGCCAATTTAATTAAAATATTCTTCAAGCCCTAACGCTAATTATTTTTCAACAGGAAAATTATCAAAACCTGCCATTAAACTTTGAATAAAATGTCAACATGCGGGGATCATCCGAGCGCAGAAAGACATAAATAGCCGCAATAAATGACATTTTACAATCTCACCATACAAAATGTTTTCGATAGCACAGGTCGTAAAGCAATCATGTACAAATGTACATCTTGCCAAGAGACCCCGACTCAGCTTGTCTGGTCAACTAAAATATATGTAAACTTTGAAGACAATAACATAAGCATAATAAAACTAGGTCCCGACAAAGCTTTAGGCACATGTCAAGAGCTTCCGTACGTTTGTTATGAGAAAAACTTGTTTATAAAATGAAAATACCAGTATGATATTAAACAAGATGCTCACACAGTCCGTGATTAAAATGCTAATTCGTACAGTTGCACAGAGACCGTGTGCATTTTTACGGCCTTGAAGGGTAAAGCAAACAAAAAGAACAACAAACCCACGAAAGTTCATCTGTACAAATATTCATGAACGTCCGTGGAAAAATTTTCATTTTTTGACTCATGAATCCTGCAACTTATTTAGGCCTTATATATCCAGCCTCAGCACCCAGTTAAATAATCAACCTAAATGAACAAAAGGGCCTTTTTTAACAATATACTTTATTTTGGGTGGTTTTAAGGGACTAGAGGAAGGATCTTATTTGCTTAGTAAACTACCCGTGTGACACAGATTTCGAAAATTCAAGGGCGCATCTCAAAATCACAGGCGATCTTCACGGTTCAGCCACAGAAGCTCTGCTAAGAGTTAGTTCCCATTTAAAGTACCAGATGCGAAGGATAATGTCGCTTTCATCTTCGATTAGAAACAACTGTATCAATCATAGTTCTAAGTTCTAATGCAAGTTCAGATCACATAATTTTTATTTTGGAAAGGTCGTTTGTGTCGCTGAACGTCTGATCCGATTTCAAGATAACTTTGAACATGTTTACTCAACATTTGGATGAAGACATTAGTAACCACTAATTTCTAAGTTCAAATTTTGACGCCTTTTTATTAGTACTCAAAGAAATAATCACGCTTCTTTTACGAGATTCGAACAAACACTGCCATATTAAACAAGCAATCGCGGCGTCGCAGTAAACTGGAGCGTTCCAGTTTAACGACATTCAGGTTGTGTTTATATCTAATCGCGTCTTCAGACGCTCAGAGTAGATTTAAATAACCCAAGATAAAAGGTTGAAGATCTTTGTAATCACGTTAAATTATCAAAACTACTATATATTCGGCTTAGTAACGTAAACAGAACGTAGATAAATTCATGATAAAGGAGCTTGTGTAACCTTAAATGCTTATTTTGTCCTTTCTTTTATGCATTCCTTGCTATTTTGTTAAAGTAAACAGGCCCTAAAAAAGAAGAGTAAATAATTGCAACCGGATACCGTTACTCCGGAATTTTCGAGTACGGTTCACGTAGGGTTAGCACTGTACGCAGCAATGTGCACGTGAGCTGGTTCCCGGGTGATATATTGGTCCTCGGCAGAAACCTAAGTTCCATTTTATATATCGAAACTATTTTAATAAAGATAAAAAAGAAACATTAATACAAGTTTAGCCTATTATAGCATTTTTGTTCGTATGTTCGAAAAATGATTGAGAAGGAAAAACGTAATCAATAGCGTCGCACATTGATAAAAATCTTCACCGATATAGATGTGTATATATGTACATGAACGTGTAAATAGAAAGCTTCAAACTCGCTAATGAACTTAGGCACAAAGTCGATGCTCGAACATGTATATTTAAGGTAGGGTCTAAATTTACAAAAACAAAAACAAAAATGTTTTATATCTCGTTGGTTTTATGAATTTGTTAAAGCTTCGGTGAAATGATTTCATATTCTTAAAGATATAAGACATAGTACTTATATATCATCTTTACTGTTGTCGTAGTTATGATGCATATGACCGGAATAACGAATAAAATGTTATAAATAAATTCGTTTATCATTTTATTGAACACCAGTGTCTATATATAGATGATTTATTGTAGAACTTTGGTAAGATATTGCGTACTTGATGTATGTAGCCTGTATCCGACAAATATTGACTAGCCCTCGAGATATCTAGGAGATCATACGCCCATAATCTTATAATAATATACTAGTATATGCTTGATACTTTATTAAATGAAATCGTTTGATATTAAATCAAATATTCGGCACAATTCAGATGTATGAATTTAGTCATCTG